ACACACTTCCCATCTGTTGATAATGTCAATCCCATCCGTACAAAACTTGTCAGTAGAAACGAAAGCGTTCGAGATTAAAGAGAAGAAGCTTTTTACGTAAATCCTTACAAGATGAAAAGTAATGAACTAGCCCAGTGGTCGATTCATCAATGGAGTTGTGATACGTAGACATAACCTAATGAGATGAGGCGTGAAAGTGTTCACGTCCAATGTAGCAGTACTTTTGAAGCTAGGAAAAATAAGTGTAACAACATTATTTGCTTGAGTGATGGCTAATTTGTTTGATTATTGCGTTCCTCTACGACGTTTATTCTAATCTCAAATTATATGCGTCCCAAACTTGCAACTTGAAAGAGGAGATAAGAAGCTAAGAGAAGATAACGAGCTGAGAAAGTAAAATATTGAGTGGGAGGCGAAGTACGAGTGATTGATGTCAGTTACTTGAGATTTCTGATGCGCAGAATTGTGATTCATTATGTTATGCACTTTGTTATCCAAGTTGTTTTGCAGAGTGCAGCAGTGCTGTTCTTAGGGATTGTTGCAGTGCATCAGTGCATCATTTTTTTCTTGGTATTGATGTGCATTCAGCAAGAAATATTTTTTCAATGCGTGCAAGCCATAGTGTGAACGTGTGCCAAAGTGCTGACGTCATTATTAATATGAAGAGGGCGTGATGTCTAGTTACTTTCATAGTTTTATGCTTGGAGTGAGGTCGCTTGGTTCATTATGGTATTGATTAGTTTCACTTTCATGAAATCGTAGTTGCATCAGTGCTGTGATTTTTTGCATCAAATTGCTTTTTATTTTTGCTTCCGTTCGATTGTCTTGTTAATTCTTGCGTGTTACTTAGTGAATCTTTGCTATCTTGTCGGTGTTATGCTTCGTTCTTCTTCGTTCTACTGCCAAAAAAAAAATATCGTTTAACATATTTCAGGTAAAATCAGCGCATATAGTAATCCCACTAGAGCACCACAGGAATTTGTGGTGCTGTTTATTCCAGAGCGATGCTTCTCTCAAATTGTTTCATGTCGCATGACATGAAATTTTGCTGCTTCCCATACGGATTCGCCATGTTTGAGTGATGTATGGGTACAGGAAGCCACATCGATAAGATAAAATGTGGCAATTAATGGTTTCGTTAGTGCTTCCTGGCTTTAAGGAGTTCTTCTCGATAACTTGATAGACAGTGGAACTCCTGAAGCCGGTTACATGATTCGGAGCTTGCGGAGCAGCAGCAGTGGATGGGCTACAAAGCATGAGTGGCTGCCTCTCCTTTTACCAGAAATTGTTCACGGATTGCAATGAAAACCCGATGAACTACCTTATGGAAAAATCAGGTTGGATTAAGTGGCATCAAGCGACGACAAGAATATTTTAAATCGCAGGATGAAGAATGAGGCAAAGATGCTGAAGTCGCGACTAATGGGTGAGCTTCTCGAGTTTCATTCGAGAAGCGTCATTTCTCATTCCGTTTCACCATGTCGCGACTTGAAGAAGAAATTCGAAGCTCAATATGCATTATTTAACGAGGAATTATGTCATGTGTTCGAAGCTGAGGTTCGCTGGTTAACTTTTAATCATTATGCGAATGATGCGACCTCTTCATGAAGATACAGATGTCCACTCTGGACGATTGTCCGAAAACTGCATAAAAAGAGTGGATATGAGCTTCTGGAGCAATGAAGAAGTGCAGAATGGCTTCAGGAAGATCCGTAAGTAGCAGGATGTTCCGGACTCTTCATGGATTGATAGCGATGTCCTATACCGGAATCGCTGAGAAAACTGGTGATGTGCGGATAAAGGACATGAGAGGGGTTAGTTTCACGACTTGAATGTTTTCTTCACTGTTTCTAGTTTACTTTTACGCAATACTTCTTCAATATGTGTACTGTTTGATAAATAAATAGTTTTAAAACATACTTTGACGATGAATTTTTTGCAAAATACACGTTTGAAATTCTTGTCTTGCAGGTTTGAGGTTTGTTTGTGACAACAATTTTGAAGAAAAAATTTTTATTAAAGGACATCTAGAAAAGATGTCTGTTATGTGGCAGCAGTGCTTTTATATGTTGTTGTTCGACATCAACTGAACAACGAAGAAAAAGTGTTAGTGATTTCGTCTTATAGCCCAAATGTGTTAACTTTGATTTAGTTGTGCACGTTCTTTGTATGTTTGATTTTTGATATGTGTAGTTGTCATTTATTGATATTATAGGTGTATTTTTGCCATATTATTCCTCATGTATGTACATATGTGTATAGCTGTTAATGTGATGTATATATATATATATATAT